TGTGTCACTATTGATACTCACTTTAATCACTTGATTAAGGTGGTTTCTGTCAGACTTATCCCTGTTTCTCCTTTGTAGTTAGTAAATTTTTTGTTGAGGTGTACTTTAAAACCACATAAATATCTCATTCCTCATCATACTTCTTACCCTCCTCACCCCACTGGGCTTCTGATACTCAGCCCTGGGTCCTCCTTGCCCCTGATGGACTCTGTCTGAACTCTACAGTTTTCACAGTTCTATTGTAAAAGTATTATTGTAAGATCTTTGAAAATTATAAATAAGCTGTAAATGTCAGCACTTTATGTCATAGATATGATTTTGAAGGTTTTTTCCTTCTAGAACAGCCTTAAGTAATTTTTTCAGAAAATAATATAAATAAATTAAGAATGTAGAGAATCAGAATGGTTAGTTCAATAGTATACTCAATTCTGCATTTTATAAGTGTTACTAAGTTACTTAGAAAATAATTGTGATGTTTTTTAAGTGAAAAATAATACCCACTAGAAAAATATATATGATGTGCTATCTTAAAATGATTGCAGATCTCCGGTTAGTTTTCTTATTCCTCAAGTTGATATAATTCATGCTACTGTATATTATTTATAATTACTTTAGGACACTAGGTTGTTTTAGGAAAACAATAATAAAATACATTCAAGAAGAAGTGATATGATTAAGTAAATATGTGACAGCAAACTAGTAAATTGACTTGAACTTAGAAAAATTTGTTAAAACAGAGCATTACCTACCAGTTATTCTTGGACTTCATAACCTTTTAGAAACCAAATATCCAGTAGACCTGCAGCCAGTACATTTTTCCAGTGGAGATGCCAAGTATGATGACTGTCAAGCCTGAAGTGTTTTTAACAGAATGAATGCTGTCTCTCTTCAATGCAGAACTATGTTGGCACAGTGGAGGTGCCAGACATTTTGTTTTAGAATATCTAATGTGAAACCATAGCCTTCCAGCTTATTGAGAGAGTTAATAGAGAGATGCAAGAGTAAGACATTTAGTTCCCAAACCATTTGCAAGGACTTTTTGATAGTTTCTTTTAACTCTTTTGTGTACTAAAGTAGCTTTGTATTTAAAGTTAAAAAAAAAAAGTGAAATCCCATTTTACAAATAAGATACATACATTTATAAATGGATTTTTCAGCTTGGTCTGCATGGCTCAGCAGTTGAGCATCAACCTATGATCCAGGAGATTGTGGTTCAGTTCCTGGTCAGGGCACCTGCCCAGGTTGTGGGCTCGATCCCCAGCAGGGGGTGTGCAGGAGACAGCCGATCAGTGACTCAGTCTCATCATTGATCTATCTCTCTCTCTTTCTCTCTCTCTCTCTCTCTGAAATCAATCAAAAAATATAAAATAAAAATAAAAATAAATGGATTTTTCAGTATTATGTAGTTTTTGTATCTTATACCGGGAAGCATTCATTATTTGAATAACATCTGTGCTTGCATTAATTCACTTTCTGTTAAATTTTTTAAGCAGTCCCCAAAAGTATCATCCTTTTCACCACAGTTTTTCCATTTAGCTACTTGCTTGACAATTGAACAGAAACACCTTACTTACAGAGATGGAGTTTAATCTGTAGTATTGGTTGTATACAACTTTTATTTATTTTGATACCTGGAAGTAAATAAAATAGTCTTCTAAGAAGTCACAAAGTAGGTGGGCTCTCTTACAATTTTGGTCTTTACTTTCTGACCCTAAAGCAGTTGGGAACATTGAATACTGTCAAGTCAACAATGGTGAGATGGAGATAAAAATTCCAAAAATATATGTAATTTACAGAGTTCTTTTTAACAGATCATTTTTATTTAAGCCTTTTAATAACTCTGTGAGGCTGTGCACTATCCATGCATAACTTTAATTTTTATTGTATTTAGTGATTATATATTTTAGTAAAAATAACATTCCTGAACCCACTGTCAGCCCAACTTATTTATGCTCCTTCTCTGTGTTATCTCCTTGTCTCCCCATCAAAGGAAACCACTGTCCTAAACTTTATATTTCTCATTCCCTTCTTGTTTTATCACGTGTTTTTCATTTTTTACTATTACTCAAACCTCAAATTCTTTATTGGTAAAACCTACCTTACAGGATTGGGTTTTTTTGTTTTGTTCTGTTTTTTTAATATGTCTGTATTGATTTCAGAGAGAGGAAGGGGATTGAGAGATAGAAACATCAATGAGAGAGCCATTAATGGGCTGCCTCCGACACGCCCCCTGCTGGGGATTGAGCCTGCAACCTGGGCATGTGCCCTGGCTGGGAATCAAACCACAATCTCCTGGATCACAGGTCAATGCTCAACTGATGAGCCACGCCACCCAGGCTTACAGGATTGTTTTGAAATCAAGTCAGAATATGTCTATGATGAGATTTGCATACTGCCTGCCTCCTGCCCCAAGTACTCAATAAATGGCAGCTGTAATTATATTATTAATGTTGTTACTTTGCTGAGAACAAGAAAAGCATGCTTTTCTTGGCTGTTTCCTTTGTTTTAATCTCCCTGGACTTTTCTGGGGGAAAGTGAGGAAAGATGGGGGTTTGAAGTCTTTTTATCTTTTCCTGGAACTGAGCAAAATGTAGAACAAAGCAGTAGAGAATGGGATTTAGGCAACTAGCAGTTAGGGAACAGATTTCCCAAATGAGAAGGGGGGAAAAAAATCTGCACTATTAAGTTACCAAGTGTTCCTTCTCTTTCACTGCCTTGTGCCCTCATGATAGGATTTCTGTCAACTTTGAGCTTGATGCAGTGTAGTGAGACTTTCATCCCTCATAATCAATGTTGAAGAATAAAGGACCAAATTGACCCAGAAATAATCAGTTACAAAAATGAATCCATTAGAATTTACTAATGACCAAGCAAACAAGCCAGTCGGCCCATTTTTACACTGTTCACCTTCCCACCCAACATTGGGAAGCATTAGTTTGCTTTCAATATCTGAAAATTATTTCATTTCTTCCTTCCCCCTAATTGCCCTGGGCTCTGTACAATTGCACCAACATTAGACAAATTCTTGCTCTTCTGAGCTTGTTTCCCCCTTTTGCCTAATTACTTTTATCATACATTTATGTTAATAATTTATGTTAACTGAGTTATTTATTTTAGCACACTTGCCCTAATTCTACTACCCGGATACTTTTAAGTAGTTGTATTGGGATTTTGGTCAACTAAAATTCATTAATGAACCATTAAGTTAATTAAACATTATTGCACAAATTATTAGCAACATCAATAGAAAAAAAAAATACATAAGACAGCAGTGGCAGATTGATGACAGAATTCCTTAGCAAACAAAAGTAAAATCTAAATTTTAAAAAGAGAGTGAGTGCATTTTTTGGTTTGTTTTGTTAGTCCTCACGGGAGGATATTTTTTTCATTGTTTTTTAGACAGAGTGGAAGACAGGGAGGGAGGCAGGGGGGGAGAGAGAGAGAGAGAAACATCAATTGGTTGCCTCCTGTATGCACCCTGACCCGGGATGGAATCCACAACCTAGGTATGTGCCCTGACTAGGAGTGGAACCAGCAACCTTTTTGGTGTATGGGACAATGCTCCAACCAACTGAGCCACCTGGGCAGGGCTAAATTGATTGTTTACTTTGAATGAAGATAATTTCATAGTATAACTTCTAATTTTAGCTTTCCTTCACAACATTCTTTCTTATCCCTATCCACAGCAAAGTTAACATGCTTACTTTAATGGTTAACTGGGAGGGTCAAAGTATTTATGAATTCAGTAATCAGTTAGCTAAAAGTATCGTTTGTTACCAAGGCTAAAATGTCTTATATGGCTACCTGTGGTATTTTAACCACTCATATAAATAATTAATAATCTTTAGTTGTTGGAATGTTGGGTTTCATGGAATATTAGACAGGTCCCTTAAACTCTGTGCCTTGGTTCTTTGGAAACGGCATATGATTCTAATTGGTGTTTTGAGGTTCTTCCAATGTTAATTCTATCTTTAGAGGATATGTTGAGAATTCTTTCTGTGCAAAAACCATATAATAATTATAAAATAATTTCTTAAACAGTAGATATAAATTTAATTTTATGAATATGTAGATTATTATAAAATACATTATAAAGAAATAATATTCTTGCCCTGGCTGGTGTGGCTCAGTTGGTTAAGCATCATTCCATGCACCTACAGGTTGCCAGTTCAGTTCCGTCAGGACACATGCCCAGGTTGCTGGCTCTATCCCTAGTAGGGGGCATGCAAGAGGTAGCCAATGGTTCTCTCTCATCAGTGTTTCTCTCTCTCTCCCTCTCCCTTTCTGTCTCTCTCTAAAATTAATAAAAACTTATTTTTAAAAGGAGAAAGAATATTCTTTAATCTGGGATAGAAAAGTAATCATAATCTAATATAGGTAATAATACTTTCTGATTTAAGAATATTCTATACTTGTATCTTTCTAGATTTGGAGATTTCTCAGAGATAAGGATTTCCTTGAGCCATGACGTTAATTTTTTAGCTTCGTTAGGAAGGAAAAATGCGTTATGATAGCAAATTAAAATATTTGCTAAAAGGTGCTGTGTAAAAGCACAGGACTAGATTAATGGGTTAATTGGAGAAGGCATTTTAAAGCTGACATACGATGTAATATACCTATCTCAATATGTAAAGGTTGGTAGTTACACTCATTATACAGGGAGATATTGGAACATCTTGGGTTATTTGACATTCTTCTATTCTGTTTAGTTTTATCCATTTTTAAAATTTAATAACTTTTTCTGGAGACCATCTTTAGCATAAAGGATAAAGCCAAGAAGAAAACGGGGCAGAACTAATGGAAAATTTACTCTTCTGTTCAATAATACTACATAATAAAAGAAAAATACTTGCTAGTAATTTTTTACAGCAGTAATTTTATGGAGTTATGTGTGTGTGTGAATAATGTAGTTCTCATATGTTAAAAAGACATATTTGCACTCATATATTAGGCTATTAACTTAAGTTCTTTTCAAAATTTTTTCTCTCCCCCCCCCACAGAATCTGTCTATGATCTTCTCCCAAAGGAGTTACAGTTACCTCCATCTAGAGAAACAGCTGTAGCATCAATGAGTCAGACAAGTGGTGGTGAGGCAGGCTCGCCTCCTCCAGCTGTAGTTGCTGCTGGTATGCATTTCATTTTACTTTATTAAAGAAAACTAGGGTATTATCTGGCCAACATGAACAGTGCTGGTAAAGTTCATATCAAAAAGAGTGTGATTTGAGGCTTTTAGGAGGTTTTAAAATATATACTTTTAAAACTAAAATTTTTTAATGTAACTTTATTGATACAATTATTATTTCTTAAAATTTCACATTGGCACATTATTAGTGCCATCTCCTAGAATGGACCTTATCTTCAACTATGGGAATGAGTTTAAAGCTCAGTGGTTGACTGCACATAAGAAGGTTAAATACCAAGCCATGGTTAGAAAATTATATTTGTTAAATTATATTTAAAAATTATTTTTTAAAATTTGCTTTAAAAAAAGGGGAAAAAATTTTTACTTTGTATAATCTGAAAAAGGACACAAACACTCAAGCCTCTTTTCTGTTTGTAGCAAGTTACTATAACCTTTTCCCTACATCTGAAAACATATGTGACTTTATAGTTACTTTAAATTTAGTTGAAAGTAAGATTTAAATGTAATGTTTATATAAATAGATTTTTATGTCAATTTAAAATATGGCAATTAATGTTTGAAATTTATCAAGCTTATTTTTACTCAGCTCTCAAATCATACACTTTATAAATTCTATAAAACTGGTTCAAATTTTGATTGAATTAGAATAAAAGATAGACAAGCTAACAGAAAAAAGTCTTGATAAATTAATATGAATGCTTTAAAAAAATTGTTTGCCCAACTGTGTTTTTCTTTTAGTTGGGTTTATAGACTGCTAAGTGTGTTTGGTTTAAAAAAAAAAAAAAAAGGAAAAAAATTATATACTCTGAAGTTTTAGTCTACTAATTAGAGGTTTCTTGTCTAATATGATACCTCTCATCTTTTCAAATGGTACTTAAAGTCCACCAGAACATTGTTTTCAGTTAATTGTTGTTATTGTTTTTTTTTTTCCAAAAGAACAGTGAAGTGGAAGGTTGTTATTTAAGTGAGGATATTGGTACTATTGTAGAATTTCAGCTATTTTTCTTGTATATGTTAGCCTATGTACCTTTAACCTTGTGTATCAATCTTTCCCGAGCTGTATAGTGTAGGTTGCTGCCTTCCTAGTTGAAGGCCGGAAAACTTTAAACATGGCAAAGAAACTTATCAGCCCTGCTCACTGTTCATGTGTTGCCAGACATTTTCTAACAGATACTGTGGATTTAATTGTGAACTTTTTAGTATTGAAATTTGTGAGATGACCTCGTTTCACTTTATGTCCACTGGGTTCTAAAATGTCCCTGAGTATCTTTTCTGGAATTCAGTTTTAATCTCGTTTAAAATTTGTATCAGACAATGAAATACGAAAAAATATTTTTTAATGAAATATTTCACTTTAAGTCCACAGGTAGAAATTGACTAACTGATTTCTTTTGTATCTTTTGAGATTGTTTTTTAAAGACATGTTGAATCTGTATAGAACTAAAAGTCTGTTTCTTCTGTGCTTTTAAACATCTGTTGACAGTAGATCCAGTTCCTTTTAAAAGCTGAAAAAGATGTTAGCTAGTTTTGGGAAAAGAACACTTCCTTTTAAATAATACCAAACTGAATTCAAAAGTTTTTATATATAAATATTGAAAATTCTTGAATTTGGGTCACTAATGGAATGTTGATCCTTTCTTCCTCCCTCTATCCCTTTCTCCATATATTTGAGAAAACCGTCTCTAGATAAATTAGATTGAAAGCTATCAGTTGAAAAATCCCGAAAATATGAGAATTCACCCAGGAAGTATTCTGAAGTAATAAATTCTTATTAGATCGAGAAGTTATTACTTTATAATGACGGTGAAGAGAGTAAGGAGGTAACCTTAACAGTTTTCTTATATTCACACACAGAAAGTTTCTATGATCTAAAACCAAGTCATTTGTAATTTTTAAAACATAAATTTAGTTTTAGTAACCAACATAGTGTTATTCTAGGAGGCTAATGTCTTATTGGTAGAATAAAGCCTTTGTTATATAACATTATAGGTAAGAGAGTTTAAACTACAAAATAATTATTGTAGGGAAATCAATTAGTATATATCATTAAAGTTGTCTTTTTTATTTGACCTATTAATATCCTTAGTGACATAACTGTCAAAGAGAGAGATTTAGAGTAAATTACCACTCAGTGTTTTGTGGCCAAAATACTAGATTTCTCGAGAAAGGCACATTAGACTTCTGTGAGTTTTTTTTTAATCTTTAGCATTTGCTGTTTAAGTATGAAATGCATAAAAATGATGACTCTTGATGTAGTTAATTCTTCAGAGTTTTGAAGGAGCCGGATTGGCTGCTATCAGTTATGAGGGCCTGGTGGGAACAGACTTCTAGTTCTGCCATAAAGGTTTGTGTTTCACAAGTTCTAAATCAATTTAAATTTTGAAATTTAAAGTCTGGGCATGTAGGTGTTCATGTACATTCTTTACTATTTAATTTTTAAAATGTGTTTCTCAGATTCACCAAACTAAATATTTTCCCTTTACACATTACTGAAGGAATGAGTAAACATGGTGCTGCTAATCCACAATCCAGAATATTGGGTAAAAGAGTATCTCTCAAATCTTTTTCTGCCTCTACACTATTTCTACTTTTACAAAGTCCCAGCAATAACATCTTTTTATCCGGTAAGTCCCAGGGGTTGAGGGTGGGGGAAAGAGGACTGACTTCTACACAACTCCTTTCCTCTCTATGGAGTCAAGTGTCAAAATCTGGGAGGTATAGTGAAGAATCACCAGTCTGAAATTTGTACTCCCCATTTTTTAAAGACCTCTGTTTTTGTCCCGCCGGAAGGGTAGTTAAGAGTTTGAAGTTCAATATGTGAATGAACAAAAGTTTTAGAAATACAGGCTTTCTGAACAGTATTATACGTTGTCAGTAGTTAAGAGAGAGGCCATTTTCCTAATACAAAAAAGTTATGCAAATGAATTGCTATTTTTTGGCAAAACGAATTGATCAAGAAGAAATACAAATTGTGAAATGATTTTTGTTTTTTTGGTGTGGTTCCTATAGTATGTTACAAAGAACTAAAATGTAAGAATTTAGGAGAAATAAAACAGTTACACCAGAATTTGGAGTTTTTGAAAAGAGACATGGCAAATATTTTTCTTAAATAACAGCTTTATTGAGATATAGTACACATACCAATTAAACGTATTTTAAATCTACTTATATGTTTATAGTTTTTATCCTTAGATTTACTTAATTTGTATAAAATAGGAAGTCTTTGACAGAAGTTGACAAAAATCTTTGATCATTTTAAGAAATTAAATTACTTTCTTGTTCTTTCCTAGACTTTATTTGTCTTCATTTTAGGATATGACATTATATTTATTAGTTTATATCAAAATATGATTTTGCTACGGTAACTGTTTCTTTAAAAATTTTTAATTTTAATTTTTTAGTAAACAGTTAAACCATATATTTTATGATTCAGCTAGAGAATCTTAAGAATAGCTAGTTAGTCATTCTTTTGTTATTTACATAAAGTTGTTATTTTACTTTTAGTAATTATATATATGTACTCTTTTGGGAATATATTCTCAGTGCACTAATACTTTGTAGTAGTTTTTAACATATATGGGTATATATACACTCATAAAGCATGTACAATACAAACCTCTATTGAATATTTCCACTAGTTGGATCACTGGAGATTTTTAATGTTTTAATTTAAATTAACTTTACATAAAGTGATCCATATAATAAACTTAGAAGAGACTTATGAAATAGTGCTTTGAGTTCTATAACATAGCAATTAATAAATCTCAAATACCTAACAAATATTTTCTATACTTAAAGAACTTACTTGAGTGCTATTTACACTGTAGGAGAACACACTAAAGAACTAAATTAATGTTCTGTAATCAAAGAACAGCTATGCTTTAATTAATTTCAGACATCTTAATCACCTAAATTAAAATTTTAGGAATTTCTCTAAACCATCCATAATAACAAAACTGAACAAAAATTGAGTTGAAAAAAATTAAAGTTGTCATGTTTTAGTTCTTACTATGTGATAGGAATTATTATACTGGACAATTTGCATATTATCATATCTCAGTCCTTCCAGGGACCCTTTCTTCTTACCGGAGTCTAAGTTCTTTTCTCCTTGCCATTATTCTTTAGAGAATTTAGCATTGTGTGCTCTCACTTTAGTTAAGGAAACACAAAATCCTGGAAGGCACTGCATTGGATATTGAGTTGAAAAAGCTATACCTCTTCTCCTGCAAGTTTTAGGATCTACAAAATGGGAATATGATTTCTGGAAGAATATTATTAATAGAAGTGATTCACAACATCAGAATTCTATAACCCGTTGAATTTATTATAACAAATTTACTTGTGTTAGAAAATATGTATTTACAGTTATATAATTTGAATTTTCTTGAGTTGACTAAATTTGAGGAATACATTTGCCTTTGATTCCTCTCCTGGGTTAACTAGGTTAACATATTTCAGAATTTTGGCCATTTATGTAGTGTACTATTCCTAAGATTACACCCAAAGCCTATTGGCAGGAAAGGTAATCCACCTGTATAACCTATGTATTGGTGTTGTGAGCTAAAATGTAAATTGCTTTTGGTTATCTCATACGGCCGTTTCTATTTTTCCTAGAAAACGGAACCATTTCCAGAAGAAGGTCAGGTCCTAGTTATAAAAATGTTACAATTAGGTTTAAAAAGTCTCCTCATTCTGTCTTTTTACTGAAATTACATAGTAAATCTAAATACATACATTTATACATATAGAAATTATATATGTACATATGTATGTGTGTGTAGACTTATGCTGACATCTGCCTTATCAGAATGAAAAGCATAAGCAAACTTAGGCCATAGCAGTTAATTCAGAAACAACTACCAGTTCAGGAGGCTATCCATATTATAAATTTTAATTAACAAAAAGTACATTTTCCCTTTTTATTGTTCTCAATTTTTAGCAATAACTTTTATAAATTTTGTGATTTATTCAGTCTCTGATACA